AAAAAAAAAAAAAAAAAAAAAACAAAAATCAAATTCTAACGAAAACTGGCGAGTTATCAGCTGTGCAACAGAATCAGAACACCAGCATCACAATAATTCCCCTTGGAAAAGCAGCTCTCCTTTTTACCCTGGCCTCCACCATCGCCCGCCTACGCCTTTCCCGACCGCTGTGCTAACTGCAGTGGTCTGTGCTACTCAGCTGAGAGTCACTTTTCTTCTAGTCCGCACCAAAAGTTCTGGACGCTGGCCGCCCAGAGCGTTCTCAGCGCGTGGGGAAACCGGCAGCGTCTGTCCTAAGTCCCTCCCCACCCTCCAGGGGGCCGGCTCCTGCTTCTCCTGCTTTCGATTTCCCAATGACATAGAGGAGTTAAAACGCCCACTCCCGGGCCAGGGCTGCAGCTCAGCCGCAGAGCATGTGTTTAGCACTCTGGGTTCAAATCTCAGCGTAAAAACAAAACAGAACCTGTGCTCTTGAGACTGTTGCGAGGACTGACTGTAGAGGGCGCACACAGGCCCGGCGCCGCGGTCTGGCACCCCGTAGGCAGCAGAAAGTTATTACTGCGCCTCCCCTCGCTCATCTCACCAACTAGCCGGATGAGTACAGACTATGTGGTAATAGTAAGCAAGTCTCCTACAAAATATTTTCATGTAAAAAGAGGCCTTCAAAATGACCAGTCTACACACGGACTCCTGGACCTGTCTCCCCAACTGAGGCAAGATGGTGGGGCTTTCTAATAAAAACTGCAGAGGGTAAAATAGAAGCCTGTCTAGGGGTTCACAACCTGGTCGACAATGCTGCATAAATTGCACGAAAAATGTGTTCGGAGCCCAGCATGGTGGAGCAAGCCTGTAATTCTAACACTAGGGAGGCAGAGGCAGGAGGATCGCCATGAGTTTAAGGCCAACCTTGGCTACACTGCGAGACCTTGTCCCAAAACAAAACAAACAAGCAAAACCTCAAGGCTTTTAGGTGCATTTTCATTTTTTCATTACAGGTTTGAATTAATGCTGCGGGGGCTGGGGATTTAGCTCAGGGGCACAGAGCCTGCCTGGCAAGTGCAAGGTCGTGAGTTCGGTTCCCAGTACCGGAAAAAAAAAAACCAAAAACCAAAAAAAAAAAAAAGAATTAATGCTGCGAAGTGCCCAAGCTACAGTTAGTCATTTATTTACTCCGTAAAAGCTTTAACAAAAATCTTAGGGTTTAGAACCCACGATGGAGTTAGTGGAGTGGGTCATTTACCTTCCCAACAGCTGAAAAACTGCTGGCTGGCCAGAAAACTGACTTCTGACTAAAATGATGGTAACCGGACCCCACCACAAGCCTCTGCCCTGGGACAGTCCTTTCTAGGGAAGATCTTTTCATCGGAGGTAGCTAAGGAGCACGCACATTTTCTATACCGTAAGCGAAAGAAGCCACCCTGGGGCAGAGAGAGAACGCACAGCACCGCACTTTGAAAAGTTCTGCGCAGAAGCCTGCGGAACTTTTCTCCCCTCTCCGGGGCGGCCACTCCCCACCTGACCTTCGGTCCCTCCCGTGGCGCTCTTCGCGAGGGGACACAGCGCCCGCGGAGGGCAGGCGCCAACCCTGTAGATTCTGGAAACTTTCCCAGTGCGCGGGGCCGCCGGGACAGCAGCCCTGGAGTCACCGCGCCGTGTGGCGAGGCTGGAAGCGCGGCCACCGCCTTCGCGTCTCCCGGGGCCCCGACCGCGCAGGGCGACGCGGGCTGTCCCAGCACCAACCCGGGAACTGAGTTGTGTAAACAGCGCGCCGGCCCGCTCCGCAGCCGCCCGCTTTGATGCCTCCGCGGCGACCGTTTATCTGACATCTTCATGAAGGCTCCGCTGACACGTCCCCGCGTCTCCACGAAGCAGAAGGCTGCCCGCGAAGCCCTGCTCCCCGAGGCTCCCGCTCAAGGCCCGATAACCTCTGACACCGCCACAAACGGATGCGAGGACGCGGCAGGGGGCGACTCGGGGTGGGCGGCGTCGCCCGCGCGCACGTGGGCAGCGCCACCCGCGGGCGGACACCGGCGGGGACGCGGGCGAGAGAGGTGACTTTGCACCCGAGCCCGATGCACAGCGATGCCAAGCGCGCGTCCGGGCCAGCTGCGCTCCGCGGGCGGCTAATCGTTGCCAGATGTGGGGCGGGCGCCGCGCGGACATCCCGGGTCCCCGAGAAATCGCCCGGCCCGCGCGCGGCGACAGCCCGGACGGGACAGCGCAGCCCCGGGGAGCAAGACCCGGGCGGAGGGCGCAGAGGCCGCGGGGACGGGGCGCCTCGCGCGCCCCCCGAGCTTTTTCCAATTGAAAAGTTGGGAACGAATCCGTAAACAAGACTCCCAACTACCCTGCAGAAGCCGCGGTGGCGGGGAGAGGACCTGGCGCTCCAAGCCGCAGGCTCGAGGTCCCCGCGGGGCCCACGCCGGAGCCGGGAGCGGCGCTCCGCGGTGAGCCCGGCTCTGTCGCCCC